AAAAAAAAAAAAAAAAAAAAAAAAAACGTACGCGTATGCCGGTGTCCGGACACGTACGCGTATGCACCGCATACGCATACGTGGTGCTACCCAGTAATATATATACATATATATATATACATATATATATATATATGTACATATATATGTGTATATAGAATATATATATATATATATATACATATATATATATATATACATATATATATATCCTACCCCTTAAGCGCGGTGGGCCCGCGGGGGGAGGTCGTGTTCCGTTGCGCGCCGGAATCGCGCCGAACTTTTGATTCGGCCCGGCGGATGAAGGCGATCGAGGGCGGGGGTGTGTGCAGAGCGGCGCGCGTACCGAATTGTTCACAGCGCGCCGAAAAACGAGTGAGCGCGCCCATCGCGCCGGGCGGCGGCGAGCGTTGATGTGAAGGGATATCTCGAAGCGCCCGCCGTCGGATAGCCGGCGTTTTCCTTTTCCTTTTTAATTTCTTCGTTTTTTTATTTCCTTTCTTTTTGTTTTCCCTCTTTTCGTTTTTCTTTCTTTCTCATGTGTTTCTATTTTCTTTTTTATTTCCTTTCTTTTTGTTTTCCCTTTTTCTGTTTTTTTTTTCTTATTCGGTTGCAATGTTCTGTCGTGTTCCCCCCTTCTTTGTCGCAGCCGCAAGTGGCTCGTCGTGTTCCTTCTGTCACAGGCGACGACGACATACCCCCTTCCTTTTGTCCCGTTGTGTTCCTTTTGTCACAGGCGGCAACGACAAAAGCAAGGAGGGCCAGGCGGCAGCCGGCCGCCCACGCACGCACCAACTCTGAAAATTTGAGGGTCCATAGATTTGGTCGTGATATTTACAGGAAAAATATTTAAAAAAATTACAAAAATTATTTCAACCACGAAATAAATCGCAGGGCTAATTCAATGCAGTTTCGAATTTTGCCACTCTGCTTGTTCCCCCCACTGTAGTACCGGTATCCCTCGTGGACCTGTGGTCCTTTGCTACCGGTTCCCCCTAATTTTTTTTTGGGTATGGTCCCACTAGCAACGGGAGCCAAGTCCCACTTGCAGCGGTTTAGTTCCCGTAGCCGGTACTGCACGACCCTGTGCTCGAAATGACTGCATCTTCCCATGATAGCGGGTAGATTCGTTCCCGCTTTGCACGTGGCAAGGACAGAGAGAGAGAGAGAGAGAGAGAGAGAGAGAGAGAGAG